GGTGTTCCTAATAATCCTTTAGGTGAGTGTACAGTCACAGTGTAATCTAAAGTGAAATTAAGTGAAATGAAAGGTGGTCAAATAGTAAAAGGTTTAAAGCAAAATAAAGATATTGTAAGTAAAAATATAATAAATATGTCATAAATAGGAAAGTTAAACTGTAAAATAAAAAGACCAGAGATGTGCAATGCAGATCAAATAAAGTGTGAATAAAGTATAAATAATGACAAGGAGGAGTTTTCAGCATGTATACCAATGAACTGACATACCAATAATGCAACCATCCACATTGACCATTTAACACGCATATCATTCTTTCATCTTAGGTGTTGATTGCTGACGACTCGTCATCCTGCTTTTTTTAGGGTGTGTTTTTATGTCATAAACGTGAAAATTTTTGATGTCCCGAGAATAAAATGATTTTTTCTGGAAGCTGAAATACACAAACTTGCATTTAATTGTGATGCAACCCTCTCGGCGCCTTTCTGTTCTTGGTGATGATGACCTCCATCCTGCCATTTCTCAGATATGCCAGGAATGGAACTGGAGCTCCCATGATTGGCAGCTTGGCAGAATGTGAGTATCCACCTCTCCCAGATTTTGCCCATGCTGTTATCATATTGTGTAATGATGTGCTGCTGGCATTGGCATGGCTACAATGCCAAACCTTGACCTTGATGTGTCATCAGCTTCAGAAAAACCTGTAATCTGAATCACACTAGTTTATAACATGGATTATGATTATATATCAATTATGCATAATTATGTATAGGGAGGTGGAAGTGCAAACTGCTTAGGACAAAAACATATGGTACACATATAAATATTTACTGTTATCCATCCAGTGCCAAGGTGAACTGGAGTTGCCAAATTATCCACAGGCATAAATGTGTGTGTGAATGGTGTGAATTCCCTGCAATGATCTGGTGCCTCATTCTGGGTTAATTCCTGTCTTGAGTCTGTATCTTCTGGGGTAGGCTCTGGACCCCCTTGACCTTGCAAAGGGCAAGCAGGTTTAAAAAATTGATGAATGGGTAATCCATCCATCCATGTTCTATAACAGCTATTCAGTGCAGGCTTACGACAAGCCTGGAGCCTGTCCCAAGAAGGCAGGGTGCATGCCGGAAGGGATGCTCAGTGACACAGTCACAAGCTACAGATGAATCAGGGACACTCATTTGCCTGTCAGTGTTTTTTGGACACCCCCCCATTTAAATGATGAATGTAGTCGATACTGACAGGCCGCAGGATGGCTCTCGCATCTTGCCCCCTCCATGTATGACCCCTCAGTGTGACACCTGTGTGTTGTGAATTGCAGTCTGCGACGTGATATCCCAAATCCAGATGCTCTACCTGCTGCTAAGCCTGTGCATGGGCTGGATGCTGAGCCGGACACACAGGTTCCAGAGCAAGCCACTGCAGTGGGACACCTCGCCCACCTCCACCACGCTTGCCCTTGGGGGTGTGGGCACCCAGGTAAGCCCCTCCCACCAAGACACACTACCTCTGTCACTTTTATGCAGCTCCTAGTTAAATGACTGGCTCTTCTTATTCACTTGTTTTGTTTTTCTAATCAATTTAGAATCTGAAATCAGAATCAGAAAAAAATTTATTGAACCCAGGAGAGAAATTTCTTTCTGCTACAACTACACTGCTAGACAGAGACACCACTGGACACAATGAACACCATATAACAAAATGAAGAGAGTAATATATCAGCGTTTCTCAAACTGGTGCCGGTCCGTGAGAGGGTTCCTGCCGGTCCGCAGAGCCTTGCTTCTGCACCAATCAAAATTCAGTCAGATCAGGTCTGATGTCAGCGCTGCTGTCACTGCGTGCCCCTCCCCGACCCCCGACTTCATGGCCCGCCCGTTGTTTCAGCATTCTAGAATGTTCAGCGTTCCCGCTCTTTGTCTCATTCACTCCAAACTTTTCACAGACACACACGTGTTACGAGAGCTGTCAATAAATCATCGCGTGTTCAAAGCAAGCGAGTCTGGATTCTTTCTTTCGGAAGCGTCCATCAAATGATGCCGACTTACAGGATGAGCCAGAGGCAAAAAAGCATCGCCCATTTACTCGAAATTATGACATTTCATACATTAAATTCGGTTTTATTTCTAGCGATAGTTCCCCCCCGAAAACCAATCTGTGTCATCTGCCAAGCTACAGTATGCCAAGTAACGAGGCTATGAAACCATCGAAATTACACTGGGATTTGGAAACAAAACATGCACATCTAAAAGATCAGGTGACTTCTTCAAAAGAAAAAACGATAATAATACACATAATAATAATAATAATAATAACAACAACAATAGCCTAATTACTATATATCTGTATATTTAAATGTCAAATTTAGCCAAAGCACTCCTGTTAGGTCATGTTTAATATTGTTCTTACATAGGCATAACCCCTAATAATACTAATAGTAATAATATCAGTAGTGGTAGTGGTGTAGTAATAATAATAATAATAATACTATCTATCTATAGTAATAATATCTATCTATCTATGCGGATACGCATCTGTGGGGGGTTGGGGGCGGTCATTTATGCAGGGCCCTGCAGCCTCAAAGCCTGACATGACTGGTCCCCAGGGCAAATAAGTTTGAGAAACACTGATATATCACTAACAAAAATTAAATTAAATAAACAAAATAAAATACAAAAGATAGAATAGATGTCAAATAAACTACAATATAAACTCTTGGAAAAAATGTGTGTAATCTGTTTTCTATTAAACTATTACAGTATATATAACTATGTAACTAGTTTGCAGTGTGACCGGTTCGCTGTGAAAGATAAATTAGTTAAAATACTGTATGGCAAAAGTATTTGATCGGGTGCATTTTGTACAGTTGCTCACAGAGCCAGCATTTTACCTGATAATATTGCACATAGTGTCGAGGTATTCTACATTCAGAGAAACTGAAAAGATTAGCAGCAGCAGACCAGTTATTGTACAACCTAGAAGTATATAAAAGATATACCAAAAGACATGGTTATGGAGGGAGGGAGGGAAATGACCTATTTTGTGGATGAGTGGCATTGGGAGGAGTTATAGAGTCTGATGCCTCTGGGGATCAGAAGGATTTCCTGTGGCATTCAGTGGAGCACTTAAATAATAGATACTGAGTCTAGATATAAATTATATTCAAATAATAGTTTCTGTAAATTGCATTATGTATGATATCCAAACTGCTTGGTCCAATCAGACTGGTGTCCGCGCTGAATCAACCATGGATGGACGTGGTCAGTCTTTCCATTTCCTTACTGTTCTGAACCTGTAGGGGGCACTGTTGGTCTGGGAGCAATTCAAGGACACCGAGCACCATAGCTACCATGCCCACGGCAGCGTGCCGGGCCTGCTTCTCATTGGCCTGCGCATTGTTCTAGCCCTGCTGCTTGCCTCCATCCTCTACCAGATCATCATGGCGGAGAGGAGTACTCTAAAACGAGACTTCTACCTCTGCTTCGCAAAGGTACTACGGGCGCCATTGTGGGGGACAAACCTTCAACAAACCATTCCCAGATTTCCACGGGACAGTCATATCCCTCTCATACAATGTGTGGTCATGGGAAAAATGCAGATTCTGCCTTAGTTATTGTAATTGCAAAGCAAGGGTGTCAAACTCCAGTCCCAGAGGGCTGGAGCCCTGCATAGCTTTGGTCTTTCCCTATTCCACCACAAATGATTCAGCTCAAGAACTGTGTGGTAATTAGCACAAGCAGGTGTGAAAAGTTGAATCAGGTGTGTTAAATGAGGGGAAACTCAAAAACGTGTAGGGCTCCGGCCCTCCAGGACTGGAGTTTGACACCCGTGTTGTAAAGGATACCTTTTGCACAACTTTTTTTCAGTATTTTAAATTGTTCTCTGGTGTCCACATAGAAGGTTTGTGAACTCGGTTTGGTTGAAAGATGCCCAAACGTCTAATGGATGTGTTGGTGCGTTTCAGGGCTGTTTCTTGTGGTTTCTGTGTCACCCGATCCTCGTACTGATTTCTGTTGCTTTCCGTGAGCACCAAAGAGAGAAGGTAAGAGGGTACCATCACTATGGGGGGAGAGAAAGACTGTCCATCACTCTCTGTGTACTGAGCTTACTAATCTGGTCTGCACTCCCCGCCCCAGGTCATCACCATTGGCATCATACTTTGCCAGACCGCTGCGGTGGTCATCCTCTATAGACTCTTCCTGTCCCGTAGCTTGTACTGGGAAGTGTCCTCACTCTCCTCAGTCACACTGCCACTGACCATGTCTAGAGGGCATCGGAGTCGTTACTAGCTTCCCCCAGGTGACAAGGAACAGCGGAACCACTGCAGGTGACAGCTATCCAAGAGCACTGTCCAAAAAGAACCAGGACACCTACAGACATGGATGGAACTTGTCCGTCCTGTGAGTGACAGCAACCAGTGACCAGTTGTGTGGACTTTGGGTAGATTTGAATGAGGTGTTACTGGGCAGTATGGATTTTAATGAGGACCTGATTGTCTTTCACCTCAAAAGACATGCATATAGCATAGAAATAAAAATGAAAATTCAAGTGACTCCTGAGAATTGAACACAATCCTTCTGTACATCTAGGACCTCCAACTTACAGGGAAAAATTTGGGGGTTGGTAACGGATTGGCACTCTAGCCACTGTAAAACTTCAACCAGCTACAAAATGGCAGGCAGGACTCTTTTCTGCTCTCCACAGGTGTAGCTCTGCTGTAAACTCCCACAGGATCGCTGCACGTATCATAGGTGCACGTATCATAAAGGGGATGGGGGAAGGCCCTCAGGAGCCACATCCAGGAGTCTAAACCACCACCAGAGAGCCAATGGGGTCTGGCCTGTTGAGGATCAGAACTGGTGTGGTGCTGAGGCATTGCCCGCAGCACAGCAGCACTCAGGATCCAGTCTGAGGCGGCTCATCCATCTAGACATGTGGAAAATCCTGACTCTCCAGCATGGTGACCATCTTCTTCTGCTGTCAGAGGAGCTTTGTAACTCCACATTTCAGTGGTGGCACTCTCTGAGGTACGCAGACCAGGGAATCACCAGATCTATGTAGGTGGGTAGACCAATTATTGGTCTGTTCGCTCTGATGGCTGCCATACTTAGGGAATAGCTTGCTGTGGAGGATCAGCTCCTCCCGATGGTATTCGATATCGATATGACTCCTATCAACAAGCATATTGTGAGACTCAGATTAAGGCACTCTCTTGGTGTCTTGTCTGTGCTCTCAATGTATGCTCCAATGGCAGTGAGTGATATCTCTGTGAAGGAGGCAGTTTATTCATAACTTCACTTGGTAGTTGATGGGTGCCCACTAGGTGACACTCTTTTGGTCATGGGTGACTTCAGTACGACCACTGGCACTGACACTGTTTAGGCAGAGCTCTAAAAAATTTTTCCCCTTTTGTGTTATAGGTTATATTTTATTTTCTGTACATTAAGGTTTCAGAAATAAAAAAAACAATAGCATAAATATGTCAGTTGTGTGTTTATTCGCTGATTACATTTCATTTTCTGAATCATTGTCTCCACTATTTAACACAGTTCTGTGTCTATTGCTGCTGTAGCCATCCATGCGTGGCAGTGCTGCACTCAAATTATAAGTCATTGTCGACTTACAACCTCGATTGGTTCCAATTGACTGGTCATAGGTCGATTTGGTTGTAAATCAAACCTTTATTTTGTATGCAAAAATTATCATATGTATACTTTAAGTTATATCATCTTAATGTCATATTGTTTGGTGTTTTTTAACCTTTTTATCACCAATTTCTTAGTTCATTGCTGCTTGCAGTTGGGATGGAAAACTGCGATAAACAGGCTGGGCAACACTAGCGCTGCTAGACGCGCTGCAGTCAATTCAATTCAATTTTATTTATATAGCGCATTATCACAACATTACATTGTCTCAATG